GTGATCTACAAATATAGTTTTTTGGTGAACACAACAAAAATGGATTTAGTAACTGAGGATCGAAGGGAGGCAGACAGAGACAGAAAGAACAACATTGCCTTCTAGTGGGCTCTTTGAAAATAACAACTCCAAATTCAGCTTCCTACAATAAACAGTGAAAACAGAGCTGACATGTTAAGTAAGACTATTAAGAAATGTCCTATGAACAAACAAAACCAGAGCATTTAGATTATACAGCAGCATCTATGTAGACATTATACCTGAATAAGATGTAGTCGATTTATATACACTGTAATCCAGTACAATTTATATATATATTTGAATAAAAAAACCTTTGAAGGTGTCACAAATATGTTTAGTTGTAAAGAACAGATGTATAACATTAAAAATGAAGATACACATATTATTAACATCCAGCAACTAATAGTGTATTGCAGGTTTGAAAATAATAGTTGTAACAGTTTTCGACAAGACCATGGGAAAATACTTGCTGGAAAATGACCCCAACCGCAATTAAGAAATAACATTTAACACTACAGGTTGGCTTGGGTACTGGGTAAAACTAGATTGTGTTTTTTTATTTGTGCTGTTTACCCATCTTTGGTTATTTAAGAACTAAGTAAATTATGAGCTAAATAATTTACTGGTTACTTTTCAAAATAAGATTTTACATACAAAGCATGTCTGTTACTGATGTATGATACACTGCCATAGTTTTAAAAAGCCCAGCAGTTACAATATTCATACGGCATGAAGGCATCTTTATTATTACTCCACCTCTGCAGAAATATCTCTTCTCCAGTATGGCTGTCCATCAGAGCGGCAGCCCTCATTAGAAATCAATTATGGTTCATGGTGTATAGATAGTAAAGCCTTCTGACGCTATTTTTGAACTGGGCTTGAAGCAGACTAAACCTCTCAGGAATTGTCGGGGCCTCAATTTGCTTTTGTAAGCAAATGACTCAATCTTATAATTACTTGATAAGCTCATTTTTTTACTGAAATATATATTTTACACCAACTTTATATAGCCTCACTTCCATTGCCCAACCAAATAAAGAATATTATAATAATTATCAATTTTTAATCATTTGCTCAACTCAAACCTTTGTATCTTATAACTGTCATGAGTCTTGTTTTCTTTAGGTTTGCTCATGTCCACAAGTCACCACCAGAGGGAAACAGACTGCAGTTATTATGAATCTACCCCCATTGACTCATGGAGGGTGATGTCATCAAAACAGATCCGTTATCCCAATAAGCTTGAGGGGTGGTCTCCTTCAAAGTGTTTGACGATGTAAATCTCGAGAAGCAGAATTCTTATCAGCCTATTAACAGTTTATGCTTTGTATAAGACAAGTCTTATGTAGGAAGTATTTGTCATAAGTTACCTCACATATTGCTGCTAAAATGGCCATTAAATAATTTTTTTGCACATGTTTACCATGCACTGAAAGCAATGCTAAACCAGAGCTAAATTCCCTGTATGCACATAATGGCTGACATAGTGGATTCTGAGTTTAGTGCCGTGTTATTGAGGTTTGTGTCAAACAGGTCAGGCTGTACCAGTGCAGTCTCAGTACAAACTTACACCTTGTTGGAAGAAGCTGCATTGAAATCGTGTGTTACAGTTCCACATGCCATCTTCAACAGTGGGTCCTCACACTCACAAGTCAAAACATACAAGTTGAGGTTACATTTTTTTATTTGTTTTAGTACAACAGTTCAAGTCAACTAGCCACTGTATCTATTGAGATGCCATAGCGTATTGCTCTTTTGCATTCCATGTGTAGACCCCTCTTCAGTGATGTTCAAGATGGCATCCATTTCCATGTCTGGCATGTTCTTTCACAGCTATATAGCAAGAGGTCATGTGCTTTTGGAGACAAACCCATATTTTAACAAGAGCAAAATCAACAGCAGCACAAAAACATGACCTGCAGGACAAACGATTAGCTGCACTAACACCTGCATGTATAACAGCCGACGCCTTGATCAAACCTTGTGCTATTTTTATTTTATTTTTTTAATATACAGTAAGTGCCAAGAACAGGTGTGATTCACAGGGACATTTTCAAAACGCATGATGAAATAAGCAGGGATTAAGACCTATGCATAGAAACATGCTTCCTCAAAAAAGGTTAAGTACACTGCTATTTTTCAAAAAGGGCTGAAGCTGCACTGACAAGCTATTTACTAAATGGATTAGACTCAAGGGGAGGAAATGATCCACATGTAAAACCAGCGCAAGTACACTTATAGCAGGAGAATTGAAAGATTCACAAAGTGGAACTCTATTTCAAAAAGACGGGTAGTGAACACAAAAAGAAATACTGGCCAAACAAAAAATAAATCAATCTTTGGATACGTAAAAAACCCTATACACACACAATCCCCCTAGCAACTTTCAGTCTTCCGAAGTGCCTTCTGCCGAGGAGGGATCTTTGGTTTCTTTGTTCTTCCGCACCTCCTCCAACTTCTTGTCCTGTTAAAGCAAAGAAATGTCAATCACCAACATCCTGGTGCAAAAAGTGGAGCAAGTGCATCTTTTAAACTCAAACACTGACCTTCTCCTTGAATTTCTCATTCATGGCTGCCATAATTGCTGTGCGGTTCTCTTTGTTGGCCTCCATCTTCTGATTGAGCTTCTCCTCTGCCATCTTGCTGAAGTTGTTGTTCTCCTCCTGAGCTTTCTGTAGCACTTCCTTTTCATGCTCACGCTTCTCAGCTAAGTGCTTCAGAACCTCTGCCTCATGGTTCTGAAAAAGAATGGTATGAATTAAAAAATAATTTTTGTCTTCTGCTCATCACATTTATGTTTCCCCAGTCGACATTGAATGAAAGAGTCACATGCTGAACATCCTGATGATTTTAACAGCTCAGTTAAATAAGCAGATTTCTGGGCTAGTCATTCTTACCTTGCGTCTCTCCTCTGCAGCATCCAGCTTCCTCTGAATCTCCTCCAGTGAGACATCCTTCTTCTTGGGAGGAGACAGGGGGAACTCTCCCTTGGGATCTGGGGCAGGAGCACCCAGGATGACCTCGAAGGCCTGGCCAGAAGCCCGCTTGTCCAGCTCCTTGACTTTGATATCTAAACACAGGAAAGGTAAGGCTGTGTTTAAGCCCACGGATCAATAGATTCAGTAGAGATGGAAATGTCACTTTTGAAACTAGAGCTATAATTCACCTTCAGAGGCTGCCATCTTTAAGAGTGCTGCAGGTCAGTTTACCTAAAGGGCAAAATGATGGAAAAGGTCAGGTTGTTGTGATTTTGATTCACTGTGCACTTGATGACTTTAAAAAAATCAGCGACCTCTAGTGGCTCTTTTACACCGTTTCCAACGCAACTGCCTCCTTCAAAACAAGCCCAGCTACGGAAACATGGCTACTATAGCGACACCCAGTGGCCATCTTTAGAAACATAACCAACCACCGCCCATCAATCCACCCAAAACTGCGCTGGCATCAATGCGTGCGTGTCACACAGAGACACCATTGTTTTGTCTTCGAACGCGTGGCACCGTTGACATTCGGATGAGTGCGCAGAATCAAACCTCTTCAGTCATGTGGGGGGGGGGGAGAGAGAGAAAGAAAGCTTCCTAACCGTCGCGTTAATTGTTAATGAACGACACATGCCACAGTGTGCCGAGACAAAAGGCTGAGCAGGGCGGGTGCAGCAGGCGGTGCCAGGTGCACACAGCTCCTGCAGTCAGCTCCCCAAAACGGCCAATACGCACCATCTGAAACACGAGTAGTGAAGCAAGGCGCATATCCGGAGACAATGATTATTGGGGAGCACCTGTTTCTTCCACCGTGTGTCTGGGCTGCAGAAGAGGGAGGGAGGGAGGGGGCGCACATGCAGACACAAGTGTGTAACAGCCGATCACACACACACACACCCAATGCCGGATTGAATTCCTGCACCCTGCTGATCACGTCACACCAGAAAATATACATCATGAGAACTTTAAATACGACATCACATGTGGGAGAGCGGGGGGCAGAGACAGCAGCTGGCATCATTTGGTCGCAGACATCAGTCGGGCTGAGTGAGAGGACCCCTCCCCTGATCTTCCACAAAGGCTGCCAACAAGCTCAGAACGCGCCGTTTGCTTCCCATGCAGAGTCCGTGGCTTCTAAAGAGACAATCAGGGTTAGAAGGGGGTGTGATGGATGTCCACACCGGACGCACCACAGTTGGCATGAGGGTGATCTGCCGCCAGACTTCCCTCCCGACGATTCAACACGTCGCTCATGTCCAATCAAGCTTCCTTTGAGCTGCTCGGTGTCATTTGACAAACGGCACCGAACAAAGGCGCGTCTGACGGCAGCTGCAAACAAAGACGAGCTTAAACCGAACCCGAAATCATTGTTCCAGAGGTTTCCTCGCCCTGCAGAGACACCGGGGACCAACAACAATGTCACTTTGCTGCCACAGACACGAGAGGAGCCCTCGTGGGTGTCGGTGCCAACTGTGCCAGTGTCTCCCGACGCACAAAAGGCGAACAGACCCGCCAAAGAGCAGCCGCGACTCCCCTGCGAAGCTCCCAACATCCATCATTAAACCACCTCAAATTAACTCATCAAACAAAAAAAACAACCCGGCAGACATCATGGTAGTCAGCTGAAAAGCTAGCAAACAAGAAAAAAGGAGCACAATTAAACAAAAAACCCTGCACAACCACAGACGCCATTGAAGTATTGAACTCGCCTCGCTGGTCTCTTCCTCGCTGCGTGGGTCCCGGCGCACAGAGGACTTGTGGAGGCGATGAAGTCTGGCACACCCACCTTCTCCTTCGTCTTCTCCGCGCTCTGCACGATGCTGCTCCGCCACCAGCTCTGTCTGACTGTGAGCCAGTCTGCCGGGAGCGCGCACAAATGGATGGAAGACAGCGCCGTCACGCCGATCGCCGCCGCTCATTGGTCGGTTCGTCCCCCCCCCCCCCCCCTAAAAAAAACCTCCCCGGCGCTCATGGGAGTGGTAGTTTGTTCGGGACCTCACGGTTTTTAGACAATGAGCTCCAGCTGCTTGAGTGTTTAATGTCGCATCAGAACGTGAATCAGGTGCAGACGTGAGTCCACGGTGATGAGGTGGAGGTAGTTGATGAGATAAAACACCAAGTGGAGGGATGAAGGTTGGTTTCTGTCTGTTGTGGTGATTTTTACTGTCCTGGCTCCACCCAGTCAGTCGAGGATAATGGATGATGGAAGTTTCACTGTCACAAATCTCCCTCCATCAACAACACGTTCAGTTTAGTGGAAATGAACCTCACGTGATTGTGCTGCAACCAAGACATGTTGCATGATCAGTCAGGCTGTCCAGCACAGGATGCACTTCAATTCCATTTTTCACACTTGATTTATCGTTATTTATTATTTCTCTTGGGTCTACACCCAAGAGATGACATCAGTCATCAGTATGACATCAGTCCACTTTACAGCTGTGCTGTAAAAAAGTTGTATGAATGTGTTCAGTCGGGCTGCCGTGAAGAAAAGATGAAAAGAGGAATACAGCCCCGGACAGGTGAATCAATGTTTAATGCTTTTTACGTAAAAAGTAAATGCCATTGTCCAGCATGAATTTTACCCTTTGTGTTTTTGTGTATCACTGAAATGTCCACACAGTGCACTAGTCCAGCAGTGGTTAATATTTATAGATTCATAAATTCTAAATGTTTCAGTGAGCGAAGGAAAAATGTTTGCTTAGTCATTTTATGTTTTAGGGGGCAAACATGACACAGATAAATATTCAGTATATGTGAAAGGTACTTAGCAGCAGGCACAACTTTACATCATGTCAGAGTAATAGGAGGAGGACCTAGAATAAATAAACGAAATAACATAGACTGAAAACAGAATTGAGAATCATATTCCACGGCATGGTGGCACAGTGTTTTGCACAGGTCGCCCTGGTTCGCGATTTGAATCCCAGCTTCTCTAGGGCGTGTCTGAGTTTGCAAGCCTCGGGTCTACTCCAATTTTCTGCCACAGTCCAAATAGAATGCAGGTAGGGATTAGGTTAATTGTAGAATTGAATCTTCCCTGGATGTGAATGTGAGTGTGAATGGTTGTTTGTCTTTGTTGGCCTTGTGATACAATGTCAACCTGTCCAGGCTGTACCCCATCTCTTTCGCAATTTCAGCTGGGATTGTCTTCAACTCCCCTAAAACGCTGAAAAACAATAAGGATAATATATAATGAATGGATGGAAGGATGGATGGATATTTCACAGTATAATAAAAATTCAAAAAGGAAAATACATGAGGATTCATGAATAAATCAAGACAGGCATATCTTTTCTCTGTTCAACAAATGTCCCCTATAGACCCTAACTTCAAAACTAATCATAAACAATATCTCTCCCCTTGCATTCATTTAGTCTGTGGTTATGTTTCCAAAGCCTTAAATAAAATGAAAATACAGAATTAGTATTTAAAATGTGTCCCTACATGTGCAGGAAATCAAATGGTTTTACATTTAGGGGCTAGATATTGGAGCAGTCAGTGACAAGAGCCAGAAAGCACATTCAGGCTTACGCCCTTACATCAGCAGTCTTCTCCTGTGTTAAAGTATCTTTAATCCCTAACCAGGGAGAGGACAGGGTACCATGAGGAAATGTAAGATGAATGTTATCTTTCATTTAAATGCAAACAAATCTTACATCTGAATTGGGATATAAATGTAGTCATCAAATAAACCCACCACAGGAGCATGTAATGATTTGTATGGAAATGATGACATGCTGCTGTGAGCCTCCATCCCTGACACAGCGTTTGACTGAGACATGCCGACAGCAGGAATCTATTAGCAGCAGCAGCCACTGGCCCTTCTTGAAGTACGCTGCTGATACATGCCAGTCACATCAGCACATACAGCTTTGTTATTTGACCAGGGCAGCACTGCTGCAGCTGGAGACTGTGTGCTGGACAGAAATGTGGAAGTACAGAGGTGAAGTTGAGGTTTGAGATAAATGTAAAACGTCACATTTACAGAATGTCAGGGATTTTTAAGATTCACAAAGAGAGAGTAATTTAAAGTGAGTGACAGACATCCTATAAAATACTGGCAGTGTTCTTCTAAATGTGGACAAAACCTATCCATATGCTTTCTCACACAGAGAGTATTGATACAGTCACACTTGGAAAAATAAATTACAGAACCAGAAAACTGCAGCTACATTGTTTCAGAATAGGAAACCATATTTTAAATCCCTGCCATCATTATAATCTTGCGTCGGTCTGTAAATGCTCTCCCCTCCCTCTCCCCTCTGACTCTGTTAATCTCATTCATTATCAAAGTTGTGTTAAAGTTAAAGTAGCTCTTCTTAATTAATTTATGTTCAGATCCGATCCAAACTAAACCGCATGAGATTTAAGTGAATCTTTGTGACTCGCTGCTGCAGAGTTTCAGTTTTTTTTTACTGAAACAAAGAAAGGAATTATGTAAATGCGAAAGCTTGAACCGAAATTAGGTTCAATCGACCTATCCTGCACTATTTGATTCGGGACTATTTTTAGCTGAACATGATTGTGAAGACAGGAGGAGCAGATCAACGCTCTGTCACAGTGATTCTGTGCTCAAAGTATTTGTAACCACAAGGCCGACACTTAGATCTATTTTTACTGTTGCCATGTGGATGTCATTTCATCTTGTGATTTAGGCCAGCGATTTATGTGCAAGTTGAAGGCACTTTGAGTGTGAAGTTTCAGTGCAGAGGCAGACGAATCAGTTCAAACTGCACAGTGGATGCATGTGGAGGCTGGAAGTCACAGATCAAAACTGCAGCCTGACTGATCAGATGGTTTCGGACCGACTGAGCCGGTCTCACATCACTCGGACATGAGGGAAAATGGTACAAAACCCGAATCAGGGTTGGAAACTGATGTGTTTTCATTTATAATGTTACAGTTGTGCAGAGCATGAGAAGATTATGGGGGTTGGGCTTATTTTGGGGTCATCAGCTACAAACCTGCCAAGTTTAAAGGCAAATCACATGAGTTGTCAACAAAAATGGAGGACAGACAGACAGAGACATCTGGATTTATCAGTAGGATGATACTTTTTCCTATATAAAATGTGCCTAATGGAAAATACATAACTATTTATATATATATGGTCTTGTTTCCTTTATGAAATAGGGATAGTAGGAGGCAGGAAGTGGGGTGTGACATGGAGTAAAGGGTTGAAGTTGAAGTTGACATGATACCATATCTCCAAAATTCTGTGTATGATATTATCACTATATGATTCCACTGAAAGAATATCAATGGTAACATAGATGACGGAGCCTTTCAACAGCTTGTATTGGGACTATTTATTCTGGTAGAAAGTAGTGAATGCAATGAGACATTTGTTTTGTCTATCTTGACTTTTCAATGTTTTTACTTCCATTATATGTTATATTATCTAATTTCAATAAAACTGATCAGAAAGAGCCAGAAAGAGTTTAGTGCATTTCTGTTTTATATGGTAAAAGCCAGAAGACAGCTGGCTTAGCATATCCGTAGTAGGGCGGTTCATAAGCTTTATAGATGCTGGTCTGGTATTATCATTATTATTTTTATTATTGTTAATATTAAAACTATTACTCCTTTAATCAAGTGCTGTCTGACAGTAAGTTAGCTTTGCTCAACTCAACCATGTCTGGATAGTATTTTTCACCCACCAGTGAGAGTGTCCTGTGTGCCAGTCTGGTGAGTGTGGCTGAGCTGCTCTGTCTTAGTGAGCAGGACCAGATGGTGTTCACGGCCTGCCAGCATCAGTCACCCCCCCCCCCCCCAATGAACTGGATCTGTGGTGCTTGACAGGACAAAGACGAGCAAACCAGGGACAGAGGCAGGGCTACAGCAGGGGGAGGCACTGGAGGGCTGTCTGCTGTTTGCAAACTCCAGGGGCAGTACTAGCCAAAAATCGCAGGTGTGTGTGTTGAAAAGAGGATTAGCTCATGTCTGAATGCGTGAGGGTTTGGACTTTGTTTATGTGTGTGTTTGTGCCGCTGATTATCTTTTCATAAATTCAGCCCTGTGGCAGAGAAAGAAAAGTCAGCGCTGTTATTTAGGTCATTGCTTTGAAATAGGAAATTTGCTTACTCATTTGCATTTTTCGATGAGTTTGAAGACTCTTATCCAAAGTCAGCTTGGAAAAAATGATCCATGGCCCTTATGATCATCAGGGAGTAAATTCTGCTCCCTCATAGTTTTTTTGGGAATATCCTGTTGTTGTTTATGACATTTAGATACAATTTTTCCTGCCATATTTGTTTCCGTAAAGCACTGTGAAAACATTGCTGTCCGACAAAGCAGTGCTCGGGGTTACCAGCATGGAGATTGCAGAGCTCTGATAAAAGAGAGCACAAGTGGCTGCATGATAGGGAACACAGGGGGTTATTATGAATCCATGCATCGCCTACTGAGCCGCCACTATTACACACACACACACACACACACCAGGAGCAGCAGTGACAGCTGATCCACATGAAGCATTCTTCGTAAGATGGTGCAGGATTGGGACACTCCTTTCAGAAGCACTCACCCATGCTGGTGTTTGCCTGGCACTGGAGCAGGGAGCCTGACCCATTTTTAGTCCACGCAAACACGGTGCAGGCCACCCCACCCACCCACCATATCCACAGAGGCACTGGGATCCAACAGTGAGCAGATTAGAGAACGGGGGACAGGGGGTTGTGACTGTTGTGAAAGGAAGCCCTGCAGGCGTGACGTTTGTCTCTGGTGCACAAACATTACACAACTGACTGGAGGGTAGGTTTCAGTATTGGAAGATAGAATCTACAAGAATAGTGGCATTTGCTGCTTGTGATGAACACAGATGATTAAGTATGTCCTCTGTTTCCATGAGGCTAAATCTATAGGGCAGCCATGTTTCAATGTAGTGATAACTTTTATGTAACTGGATTACATAATCATCAGCTCAGCTGCTCTCTGCTCTGGGAGGCTGCGGGCTGTCTGGAAGTGGTTTCGACATCCCTACCCCCAACCTCCATGTGTACTACATGTGTGTGCACTCCATGCATAATTGTGTTTATTTGTGAGTGATGGCTCCTCATGTGCAGAATGCATTGTACAAATGTGTTTATTGAAAACAGGGAGAAAATTGGGATCTTGTGTTAGGGTTGATAATAAAAACTATTTACAATGTGACACTGTGCCACATTTGTTACCTGTAAAATAATATTGAGTTATTGATCATTCTTAAGCGTTATTTTTTTCTGAAATGTATCAAATCAGAAAATTTGAATGAGAAAAGAAATACACCAGCGTAAACAGCACGTCAAATGTGATAACCACCAGCTGGTTATTAGGATGACTATAATGTCAGACGGTGGAAATCTTTTTCCCCTTACAGGGAATTGCACTGCTATTAACCACAAGAAGAATGAGTGGATACTCTAGATGTGACCTGATAGAGATAAGTGCCTTTTGTATGGCCGATCTCTGTGGTGGATATTGTGGCCACAAAGACCTCAGTAAAGACAAGCAGCTAAAGTGATGTCCAACAGATAAAGCA